TAAATTGAAGCATATAACTTAGACAAAACAAGCTGCCACTCATGTATGTAGCTGTCTCTGTCTAGAGCCACCTGTGCATGTGCTTGTGTGTGTGTGTGTGTGGTATAATTGTGTGTAATTAACTTGCAATTTGATTGAAATTATAGCCTGTACTCACTGGCACTTGCTGGCATACACACACTCATGTGTGTGTGTGTGGAAAATCTGCTTGGAGTGTAGCAATTTGCGTGTCGACTGTTAGCGTCGAGGGCAACCCCAAAAGGCAGCCATATTGTGAATTGGCAGACCCGACCCCTGGCTGTCTGATTGGTCTTGCAAGGAGCAATGCTCCTACGATGCCAGCCACTTTAATTAAAAATTCAACCCTTAAACAAAATGGCACAGCTCGGTACAGCGCACACATGAAGAGACTCACACGAAAACGCATTTCATTTCATTCAGCGAACATTTTACAACTCGAACAAATTTGAAAAACAATTAAATGCCATGCGCGCAATTAAGTACAGAGAAGGTGGCAACAACAACAGCGGCAAGTCGAACGTGTGGAGTAACTGCTGAAGTGGCACACTGGCTGGTGGTGCGGGCATATACCGTTAATTAAGCAGAAGCAGCTGAAAGACTGCCTGACAATGGGGCTGCGGCATGGGAGCCTTAGAATTGAGTTTGGGCTGCGGCTAAGCGCTGCTCCGGGGCGCTAAAACCACAAGAACAGAAACAACCAACACGACACAAACAGACAAACACAAGCTTTTGTGTGCCCCGGCAATGCCAATGCCAAACAACAAATCCATCAAAACAAACAGCCGTCGGGGTTTATACGGATTGCTATTTGGGGTTCTCTGCTGTTCGCCCCGAACCGCATCAGAAACATAAACCAAGCGAAAAACTTTCAGCCTGTGCGGCCATGTAAAAAGGATTTAATTATTTGTTCTAAGGATATGGATGCGAATGTCTGCGTGTGCGTGTGTGTGTACGTGTGTGTGTGTGGTTCTTAGTCAATCTGCTGCTGTCGCTTTGTGAGTGTTTGTACACAAACAGAAAAATATGTTTCACGTCCACTTTCGAGGCTGAACAAATAGTGCTTCAAGGCCCACAGGCAAAGGGGCAACTGAGGCAGGACAATGATTATTGGGTCTGGTCCAAATGCTAAGCTGCAGTTTTTAATTGTGAAAACGAGCATAGCCTAATCCTCGTTGCCCTTAGGCAGCAACAGCGGCAGATATCTCAGCTGTAAATACCAGTCCAATTTAAATAGCATTCCTCTTACGATTTCCCATTTCCCTTTCCCAGGGCCGAAATGTCAAATGCACGCGGCAAATGCTGCAGGGCAATTACTGTTCAGAGTCCTGAGCTCTGGTGCCGTGTCGCATCAGCAAATGAGTAACAATCATAACAACAGCAACGAGATGGCACACGCGCTGCCACGCCCACTCTCGCAAGTCGAAAGGAAAATGCGACTTCCCACGCGCTCAAAAAGTTCTGCTCCCATTCACCATAATTTGATTGTTTTGTTTGTAGTGTGTGGCGAGTCGGGGTGAGCGCCGAGCACTGAGGGCTCGGGCTCTACTAACTGTTGATTGTAGTGATTAACGGCCGCATGGAAGCACTGTGATTGCCAGCTAGTAAATTATATAGCCGAATCTCTAGCGAAAATTGCATGTTTTGACTCCTGAATTTCCTTGCGCGGCTTTCCTCCTTTTTTTCGGCTGGGCGGATACGGCACGCGGCGCTGACTTGGGCGAGGAGCAATTATGCGGCAGCTGAGCCGACTTAGCCAAGTCACTTGGAAAGCTGACCAGAGTCGTAGAAAGCAGCGCGAGAGAGGGAGGTGGCCAGAAGAGCGGAAGATACGCCACATAATGAAGTGTTTGGGCAATCAAACAAAACAAAAGTTTGGCAACAGCAATTGACCAAGTGGTTGTTGTTGTTGTTGTTGCTTAGCTGTTTGTTGTTCATTTTGGGGCGATTACATTTTATGCGAGAGCACAACTTTGCGGTTGTTTAATGTGCGGCACGTTTAAATTTTTAAACAACACGATTGTCATGTCTGGCAGCAGTCGAGCGGTGTGGCATCATCAAAAATTTAAAGAGCTGGCAACGCCATTTTGCTTATTGACGCTGCGTTTTAGCTGATAAATAAATAATTTGGCTGGCAGGCGGCTGTCAGGTCCCCAAACCCCCAAGTAGATGGCGAACGTCCCCAAACCCCTCAGCGCCAAAAAGGTAAACGAAAATTGTTTCTTGATCATTTTAATGCACCCAAAGGGACGCAAAGTGAAAAAGTTTTGTTTTTTGGGAAAGGGGGGGCAACAGCAACATTACGTGATGCGAAGTGACATGGCATGCTGGCGAGTGTCGTGCCCGAGTGTGGCCAGGAGGGAGCGAGCTGCCTCAGCTCAATTTCATTAATAGTGAAAGCGTCAGTTCGGCCCTCATCATTTAAATAAAAACCAATATTTGATAATAATTGTCGCAGGACATGCAATGCGATAAGCAGCAGCAAAACAGCAAAACAGCGACAGCCATTCGAGTCGTGCCAATGGCAATTCGATAGCTTAATTTCCATGCCGCTTGTTAATTGAAAATGTAATTAATGCACGCATCGATAAGCTCTGTTACCCAGCACCGGGTCCAGTGCGTCCGCTGCTGTCCTGTGCCTATCCTTTCAAGGAGCGCGACTGGCATTTAGCACGACGCATGCCGCCTGCCGCAGGCCGCATGCGGCTATCTGCAACACTCGCCGTGTTCAGGTAACTCGATACAATTTCAATAGCTCGAAGACCGACCAGAAGAACCTTCAACTCTAAAGTGTGTGCGGCAAGTGTGAAAGATTCGAAAAGCTGACCGACTCGACTCGACTCGACTCGAACTCTCTGAAAGGCCGACAGCCCTATCAAATTTCGGCCAACATGCCACTCATAAAAGGAAAGTTTTGGTTGGGAAAATGCAGCCCTTTGTTTCACTTTGATTCTGATTTCTGCTCTCCGTTTTTTATCTTTTAATGCAGCTAATTAAATAGTTTCATTTGCTCGCTTTAATGAGCCACAAATTAGGCTGCGGTTGCCCCGCTTTTTATAGCCCATAAAGCTAGCAACGAGAATGGAGAAGAAAAGCAAAACGACAATTGCTGTGAAGCTTCGGGCCTATCGACTAGCCAGTCGTATCCGTTTAGGTTGCAAATTGTTTATGCGTCTATCAAGAGACACCTCATAGCTCAAACGGACAGAGAGAGCGAGAGAGAGAGAGAGAGACAACTTGCATTCGAAATGAAAGAAAAAGAAAAGTGCCACAATTCAATGCTTTCAAATGCAGACAGCGTAGCCAATAATTAATACATTGATTGCCAAATTAGCAATTTTTCGAACCAGGAATTAAACGACAACTCAGACAAATTGGCAACAAGCCAACGCGCCTTCATAGCCATAAAAATAATAATTTGAATAAATTGTATAAATTATGTGACTGAAGAGAACGGACAATTGTTAGCTCTGAGACGATAAGTCTGATAGGAAACTTCTCTATATGCGAGGCTATAAATTCTCTAATATTTATATATATTAAAAACTTTTATTTTATATTTCTCCCCCACTTTAGTTGGTCCTCGAAAATCAAACCAATTTTGTATTTGCTTTTGTATGCAACAATCATAAAAACTGCAATATGATTATAACTTTGTTCAATCGCCCTCCAGCTGCGCGCTTAGAGAGACATACAGACCCACACCCACACCCAGACCCACGCCCACGCCCACTCGCACAGTCATAATATTTGGATTGTCTATAGCGGGGCGCTATTAATATGCGATTTAACAAATATTTAGCGAAAACACATGCGATGCGCTCTGCATGCCAAATGAATCAAAAATTGCCGTACGCACACTCAAAATTCAATGTATTCGAAAGTCAAGAATTTTTACGAGCTTGGGAAAATAATAATTTAATGGTTAAAAATTGTGAGCGATGGACTTTTGTGAGCTGGCTGAGGTAGGGTCAGTACATGCACACACATACATTACTGCTACAGTTGTGTGTATTTGTGTACACGTGCATGAAATTAATGTTTGTTGACTTCTTCGAGCGACAACAAATTTCGTCGTTATTAGCAGAATTTAAATTGCTGTTACCGATCGATTTCGAGCAGGGCTTTCAGAGGCAACGACGTGCTGGCTAAAAATATGGCTATAGCTCTGGCTATATGGCTACATGGCTATGTGGCTATGAGTGCTCTGGCCAGCCTGGACATTGACATTTTTGGTATCTGCAGTCCGCGCTTAATATGCCGCCATCGTTCACGACGCGACGTCGCAAAGCTAAAGATGACGAGGCTGTTGTGCCTCTACTCCTAGTTAGAAGACGCACAGGCAAAGTCAAAGGCAGAGCCAAAGCAGAGCCAGTTGCTGCATATTAATTTGATAACTTATAAATACATATGTATATATATACTATATATATATATATATATATATATATTTGCACACGATGTTGTTGTTGGTCTAGGCCTAGGCCACGATCGTTGTTTGGGCATTTGTTAGGCCATAATATGGCCAAGCCATGGCAGTTTTGACAACTTGACAGTCGTGCAGACGAAGACTCAGACTCAGACTGAGACTCAGACTCAAGCTTAGACTCAGGCTGTAAAACTCAGAGTCGGACTGGAACAGACCTGACGGAGTCAGCGACACGAACAGCAACAGACAACAGACATTGACTCGCTGCTATCTTGGTTGTCTGCGACTTTATATTGATTGTATGTCCAGTTTTATGTGGCCCATTTTATGGTTGGTGTGTCAATTTAAAGCGACATTTATAAGCAATTTGTAACTAATTCTAACAAACACCTAACGCATGCCTTGCCAACTTGATCAATGTGTAGCTTGTGTATATAAATATGTATGTGCCTCGAGTTGTATATATCTATTAGTATACTACAGTCGCGTCTTGATCGATCCAATAATATAAACTCACTCTCTCTCTTTCTTTCTCTCTCTTTCTATGTTACAGCGGCCGCCCAGCTCATCGCTGTCCTATGGGGGCGCAATGAACGATGATGCTCGCTCGCCGGGCGCTGGTAGTACACCTGGTCCATTATCACAGCAGCCACCTGTCTTAGATACATCAGACCCTGGTAAGTGTTCAACCTTTGATTATTTTACACATATTTAGGCATTCCAGCTGCAAATTGTAGTTAGACTTCACATGAATATAAAACAGTTGAGTTCTGGTAAATAATTCAGTGAAATGTATCGTTCACGTCTAACTGAGCAATATTGTTCACTGGCCATTGAGTAAGCTGAGTAGTTGATTTTGACATTTGGAGTCAAATAAATATATAATGTATATGCAGGTATTCTTTGAGCTATGCGCAGAGTGTATGCTCTTTACACCTTTGGCATGATTTGTCGCTTTGCCGGCTGTTTGATTATGTTGTTTGCTTCAGCTTGAAGTGTTGCTGCGGCAGTTTGTAGCTAAAGTTATGGGCGAACAACTACTTCAGTAAACAGTAACGCGGCTCAAAGCTTAAGCACACACACACACACAGACATACACACACACGTATAAGTACAAGCAGCAAGTGCGACTGAGAGATACTTAGGGACATCCCTAAGCCGCGACTCGTAGACTGCCTGTCTTTTGCATGTTGCAGAGTCTTCACTTCAAAAGTTGTGGCAACCGAGAGATTTTTCAATATTTTGAGTGCGTGCAGCAGCAACAACAACAACAACAACAGCAGCAGCAGCAGCAATAATAACAACCACAACAACAACTTCGCACTTGGCGCTTCTTTTTGAAGATTTTTATGTTCGTAGCTCGTAGACTGGTCTACGGTGCTCGATGCTCGGCATCGTCACTTGGACTTGGACTCCACGTTGAATTATTTATGGTGATAGGCAAAATATTTTTATGTGTTTTTCTGTTGCCGGCAAGAAAACAAAAGCGCGTTCGGCGCAAACACCACTCGAAAGAGACACTCTCCGGGCCACTCGTCGTCTTGGCTGGTGTTGCCTCGAGTGGTCCATGGTGATAATGCACTTTTCAGTTTTTCAGTTTTCAGTTTTCAGTTTTAAGTTTTAAGTTTTTAGTTTTCGAAGACGGTAATACTTTTCGGCCATAGACCAAATGACGCGCTCTCAAGCCCAGCGATGATTTTTACTGGCAGAAGGAGGCGCTCACTGCTGCTCACACAGCCAAACAGCCCAACAGCCGATTCGCTGGACTTGACGCCAAAAGCAAAAAGCAAAAACAAAAACTTTAAAGTGAGCCGACTACTACAATAACAACAAAATATTTGCCACAAAAATATTCTAGCCGACTTTTGTGGCGCGTTTTACGAGATGTCTTCTTTTTTTGTTTCCTTTTGTTTTTGAAGCATTTTGATTGATTTATCTACATGTCGAGTTACTTTGTAGACAAATGAAATTTTGGCACAGTCGAGGCAGTTGAAGCTGCACTTCAATGGGCGTCTGAGAGAGGCTGCATCTGTGCGAATGAAAATTATCTACAGTTGAATAAGTTTTGCGGGCAGCGAGCAAATTTTAATGTTCATTTGAGTTTTTGCCATGGTGATAAGAAATTTTCGCGTTGCTCGTCGAGTTCACATCATTTCCCTTAGCCGAGCAATTGTGCTGCGCGTATTTCGGGCGTAGCAAATAGATATTTTCTACATTTTAAGTAGACACGCAGACAAGCGGACAGACCAGAGGCAGTCAGGCAGGCAGCAGTCCAGGAATGTGGTTACCAAAGAAATTCACTGCTGCTGCACAAATTCCAGTGCACACGCAAGAGCTGGCAGAGGAATCTGGTTGGGGTAGCAACCGCCGTCGAGGGTTGCCGTAATTTTATGCACGAATTCGTAAAATGTTATTCAAATGGAAAATGTGATTTTTATCAATTTTGACAGGAATTTTTCGCAGAAAGCATAAAGAAAACGTAGCACAAGGATGTGTCCTCTGGCTGACGCAAGTTTAACTTGTGTGCAAATGTTCAAGTTGCTCTAATTTATGAGGTCAGGCAATTGCCTAAAGATGAAGAAAATGACAAAACAAATCAAGTATTTAAGGTCCCTAAATTATGAGCGACAAAATACTTTGCTTTAATAAATGACTTAAAGTTCGCTCGGGAAAACAGCAGAAAGGAAATTGATGCTCAGAAAGCAGGAGCTGAAGTCAGTACAAAGACAATTAGAGTTCCTAATTGATGCACCATGTTGAGTAGAAGAGTGTCATTCTATGCTTAGGACCGTATTGAGTGGAGGTTGGCTAGCGTGAAACGGCTGGTCTCTGGCTCTGTCTTTTTCTTTGCTCCGCTTAATTGCTGGAATCGTCGTAATCGAAATTGTTAGGGGCGTCAACGCGACGACTTTTGCCTAGATAGATTTCCATAAATAAATAATCCCAGCAATTAGTTGCTGGAAAGGCACAAGTCAGTATCAGTCGAGCCGGGCAGACAGTTTCGTGTCAGTCTCGATTCAGTTTTGAGAGTTAGTCTTTGGGTCTATATAATTATAGGGCACCCTCATCAACGTCCAACGTTCACGTCGCGCGTACCAGCGTTGCATTCAATTAAAAAATATTTGTATATCTCTTTGTGTTCGTGTGCTCTGTGACCTGCCCAAAATGCTGATGGCGATGATGACGGATCTCAACGTCTGTATTTTTCATTTCATTTTCCGTTTTTGTTTTTTTTTTTTTTTTTGCTTTTGGCGCAACAGTTAATGCGCAATTAAAGAGCCAAACCAGGCGATAAATGTCAGCGTTGTCAGCTATGAAAATATGTTTAAGGTCTGTGTGCATATTTACATTCGAAACGCGGCCATGTCGCTCGTCAAGTGTCGCTTAAATGCAAATCAAAACGAGATCAATTTGATTGCCTTAGCTGCGAAAATGAAAATAAACAAGAACAGCGGGCGACCAGCCCTTAGAGTTTAGCCATCAGGCATCAGCCCTGAGACCTCAGCCCTTAGTCCACAACCCTTCGGCGGCAGCTAACCCCCGACTGACATTGATTGAAAATGCTGCGTGACGTAAATTAACTTTCATGGCGTGGGGCAGCCTCAGAAGTGCGTGTTATCCTTTCCGCTCCGTGCTCAGCGTTCGGTGCTCTGTGCTTAGCGTTTGTCAAGCCGCAAGACCCACACAATTGCCAATTGTTACAGTTTTAAAGTAACGAGGGGTTGCATATTCTGCCCCTCCCTCTCTCTGTCTGTGTGTGTGTGTGGCAGCTTGTTGTTGTCATTGCGGCCTTAATGCCACATTCACATCCATGACCTGGAGTGCACTTTTCGCTCTGGCTACTAAGGCGATTATCTTTGTAGCTGCTGTCGCCCAATTTTTGCTTATTTACATTGATGAAATGTGTTACGACTGCAGCAGCAAGAACAACAACATCATTCAGGCTGAGTAGGAACAATAGCAATAACAATAACAGGAAGCTCTGGCCCTCTAGCCGTTGGCTGTTTGTTATCTTACCACGCACAATTAGACAATTTTCATTTGCCTGGCCGACAGTTTCTCGTTCACATGGCCGCAGAGCCTGAGAGTTTCTCGTTGCCCATCTCTTTCTGTTTGCTTTGTAATGTGAAAGCATTTTTTTGAGCATTTTTGCTGGCTGGCTTTTAATAGTATTACATTTGCTTCGTTTGACAGCAGCTGGGGCGGGGACGCTCTATCAGAAAGTATCTGGTAAAAGGCTCTTGCAGTGATTTAACACGGGCGGAAGTCAGCTTGGAGCAGGCGCAGATTAAAAGCTTTTCGTTATCAAATAATCTTGTAGCGTAACTAGTCTAGATCTAGTCTAGATATAGAACTGGAACTCATATCGCTTTTAAACACATACTTTTATTTATTCATAGTCCTCTACTCTAGTCGCTTTGCACCCAGACTCAAATATCCATTCACACCTCAGCATCAGTCAATCTTGTGATGCCAGCATCTGCCTTTCCCACAACTTTTTAACTCTTTTGTCAAATGCTGACACAATTTCCGCCACCAACGTGGCACAACAATAACAACAACAACAACATCCAACAATAACAACTCAAACGACGATAAAAAAATTAAAATTTTACGCATTAAACAACTTTTGAATAGAAACGCTCGCACGGCTGCCAAAAATTACCCATATCTGTTGTTGCGTATCTGCACACCCTGAACCCGAGCTCGATAGCAATGCAAGAGCAAAAAACCAATCCCAAAAGGGGCACCAGCTGCCGCACGTACCCTGGCCAAGTTCACAATCATAAAAATTGAAACAGAAATTCGATGTTGCCTGCGCCTTTCATAATGAGTCCGCCACCCCAGCTCAGCCCATAGATACAGATAGAGCCAGAGAAGGAGAGGGAGCGCGAGAGAGAGCTTATGTAACATTACGTCAAATTGCACAAAAGGCAATACATCTTCATCCCCTAGCACACGCACACACACAGTCTCAGCTCTTATTTTACAATGAAAATTTACGAACTGACTGTTGCATATTTGGTTGCTGCTCCTCTTGCTGCTGGCACATTATCATATTTCTAGGACCGACACGCCAATGAATAGAATGCGCATCGAATTTCCCAGACCTGGGATTGGGCTCGCTTTTATATACTTTTTGCCATGGCGAGCGACGGTCGTCGGGCTCGGGCTCGGGCTCGGGTTTTAGCGCTCTTGCCACATCAAACTCAACGAGCACATCAACAAAATCATCAACACCAGCAGGGAAAACTCCGTTTTCGACTTGGACTCTGTCACTGGCAGAGGTCGCAGCATAGTTGACAAACAAGCAACACCAACAAAGACAACAACTTGGGTGCTTTTGTTGCTTGTTGCGAGGGTTGCCGCCGCGTGCAGACAAAATACAAACTTCCTTTGCTTATGTTTTGAGGCATGAAATTTTCATATTCCACTTTTTTTCTATCTTTTGTTAAAAAGCGACTCGTTTTACATGGGCTGCTCCCGTGACTTTGACTTGAATTTGTCTAGCTGCAAGACTTATCGCCGTAATATAGTTATGATCTGTGCTACACTGGCCTCCCCATAAATTAGTCACAGCTGAACTGTATCAGTTGGCCACTGGGCTTTCACACAGTAACCGTATGCTGATAACGCGTGTGTGTCTGTCTGTGTGTTTGTGTCTTGTCAAGTCAGA